CTGTTCTCCCTTTTATTCCTTACTACTAATTTATGTAAATGAATTGGAAAAATAGCAAGCAGACATGTCTCTTTTTTTGGTTCTATTCTTCAAGCCCATATTAATTATTAGCAATTGTTTCCAACTGGAAAAGCATTAAATGTTAGAAATGTTACTCTATTTCTAACTTCATTGGCTAGTGAAAGACCATGAGGAAAAACTCAAAGCAAATATGGGGGACAAGAGGATGGTGAAGGAGGAGTTAGATAGAATCTACATAACAGACTGGAATTACACTGAAGCCACTGTTACCCTGGCAGACTTAATTACCTATTTTATAAGCCTCATCTTTGAAAGAAGACAGATGTCTTTCTATTTAGTGTCATATACCCTGATGTATAGAGAACATTTTCTTGATTAGTAATGGGAAAGTAAGAAGTAAGACTTTACAGGGACGTATAAGGTCATCTGATTTTTATTGCAGAATCAGGATCTGGGACCAAGGGACATCCATTTTTTGTATAGCATTCTAACTTTCAAATGCAAATCTTTGATGGAAATGGGGCATTGGTAGTGCTTATAGCTTGACAGTTATTTCCAAGGAGTAGTTTAATCTAAGTTAAGCTTTGTAAAGAGAGGAAATAACCTCTAAAACAGTAAGTTCAACTAGACAGACCCAGCACTGGGAATAGATTTTCCGTAGGGAACAGAAGCTGATTGTATAAGAAGGGGAAAAGTTAGGCAAAATGAAACACATTAGTGAAAGGAACATGATCTGCCGTGTGCTGTACACGTTTATATGTAGAATGAAATGATCAGAATTAATGTTTTAGTGCCTCTAACATGACTCATTGTCTTCCACATTGTTATGGTTTACCTCTTTGAACTGTTTCTAAATGGAACTAGTCTTTTTTTCTTTTGAGACAGAGGGTCATTATGTCGCCCTCATAGAGTGCTGTGGTATCCCAGCTCACAGCAACCTCAAACTCTTAGGCTTAAGCAATTTACTTGCCTCAGCCTCCCAGGTAGCTGGGACTTCAGGTTCCCTCCACAACGCCTGGCTATTTTCTTTTTTTTTTTTGGTTGTAGTTGTCACTGTTGTTTGGCGGCCCAGGCTAGATTCAGACCCGCCAGCTCTGGTGTCTGTGGCTGGCTCCCTAGCCTCTGAGCTACAGGCGCCAAGCCAATGGAACTAGTCTTGATAAACCAAGGATTTATGTGGCATCACACAGAGAATGGTAATTATTTTCCATAAATGATTCCATAAAAATAGATGTTGCTTGCTTGTCTTTCTCTAGAACTTTAGCAGTAATCATAATAACTTGTTACTTCAGTTTGCATGTGAGAAAAATCCTATGTGCATTTTCACAGTGAGGGAAGCCTGCCTTCTTGATTCCTATGATATTAAATCAGATATTATAAGTGAATGAGCTTCTAAACCATAACATTCAGTGCTGCTGTTTGATTAGTTTTTTGAGGCTTTGTGGCTCACAAGGGTAGATTTAATTTAAAAATCAGAATGGGAAGGCCAAGGTGAAAATCAAGAGAGGTAAAATTGGAAAAATGGCTTTTGTCCCTCTAAAAGTTATCTTGGTCTCTGCTCAGGAGAACTGTCATGTCCAGGACTTTTAGAATATTATTTCCTTAAGGGTTGAAAATGACACTTTATTGTTAGTGAAATGTTTTATTTCTAGATGCATGAGAAAACAGTAGTTTAGGGCAGGGTGTGGTGGCTCACTCCTATTACACCTATCCTAGGGAGGCCAAGGTGTGTGGATTGCCTGAGCTTACAGGTTCGAGACATCTTGAGCCCTAGCAAGACCTCATCTCTAAAAATAGCCAGGCATTGTGTCGGGTGCCTATAGTTCCGGCTTCTTGGGAGGCTGAGGCAAGAGAATTGTTTGAGCCCAAGAGTTTGAAGTTGCTGTGAGCTATGACGGCATGGTACTCTACCAAAGGTGACAAAGTGAAACTCTGTCTCCAAAAAGAAAAAAGAAAGCAATTATTTGGCTGGTTTACTGAATAAGAAGAAAGATACAAATAACAGTGGTCATTTATGTTATTGTGATAACATACAGGAGAAGGATTAATCCTTATTTGAAAACATGTAGGCTTTTCTTTTAAAGAGAAGCTTTTTTCAGCTTCAGCCTGGCAGCTCTTCAAATAAAATCACAAAGGACTAAGACACTATAAACAACTTTCCCATCCCTAAACAGGACTGCATAGACAAGCAGACGCTCATGGCAAGGCTGTGAAGGCAGCAGGAAGGGCAGAGGCAAGCGTGGGCCCCAGAAAGGGTGACAAGTGGACCATGTTGGCAGTGTTCCTCAAGTGGTGCTATATTGGCAAGGCAAACAGTAGCCACAGGGCTGATTTACTTTTAGCCCCTGTTTCAAAGGGAATTTAGGATCTGCTGGAGCTAAGAGAGTCTTATGTATAGCAAAGGCTCTTGCCAAGGGATGTTGCAGGGGCAGGGGGCCTTGTCTTCACAAAATGCAAGCAAAAGCTGTGACCGTCATTGCCTCTCTTTCATCTTGAGTACTGTGATCCCTTCTCTCATTTCTTTTTCCTTCATCTTCAGCCCACCTCTTTGAGTTGACATGTAGGATTCTTTTTGTTCTCTAACTCCTGGCATTTTGGGAGATGTGATTATGTCTTAGCTGAACTCTGGCAGTTTCCTTCATTTGGATGGAGTAATAGCTGAAAGACTGAGGGAGAGACTTGTATCGAAATGCTGCCTCAGATGTCAGATTACACATTCTCAGAAAGTGGGAGGGAACATGGCCACCAAACTCCTTCGTACTGGGGGAAATGAAAAAGAACCCAGACCACTCCTTAGAGCTAATTAACTAGTTGACCTTGGAGGAGGCCATTTCCCTGTCAGTGGAGAAACCTTGGTTAGAGGCAGCATGAGAGAGGGATTCTCAAAAGAAGCAGATACTGTAGTATCTGATCTCTGGTTCTCGGTTCCTGTTCAGCCGTGCTGGTCTTTAGCTTTCTAGTGCACTCTTTCATGGTGGAAAAAAACTCAGGCTAAGTCCAGCTAAACTTTCTTTGTTTCTGGAACTCTTTCCTCCTGAATAATAGTCGTGTGTAGCGTGACACTCATTTGTGTCATCCTTTTTGGTTTTTAGGCTTTAGGCTAAAGATTCCAGAGGTAATACCTGTCTGATAGGTCCCTAAAGGAGCTTTCTCCTTGGTCACTTTCACCTCTCCTTTTAGTCCTCACTGCCTTTTATGCTGTCTGCCCCTGGGGAAGGTTTGCAGTGACTGGCAGGTCCTCTGACTATTCATTTTTACCTTGGACTGAAGGGCTTAGCCTTATAATGCAGCTACCATTATGGGATAGGTAGAAAGCCAGAGGAATTAATCCCTTCTTGTTAAATAACATAGTTCACAGCCTGAAAATCCATGCTTGCTGGGCAGTTGCTACTGCACTGGTGGGTGGCTGCCTTCACAAACCTAGAGGCATCCTTCAGTACCATTATGTTCAGATGCAGAGTGAGACTGAAAACCTGGATTTGAGAAATACATAATTCTAATTGTCTTGACATCGTTATTTTAAAACAACTGAACTCTGAGTTCCAATTGTCTGTTGAGCATCACACTGGGTAGAGAATTAGCTGCAAACCTGTGTCTTCTGGACCTGCTACTCAGTCACAGGAGCTGCGGGCAGAACAGTGTCTTTCTTCAGTCCTAGGCACCTCCTCCCCCAGAGCTCTGCCTAACGGTGAGTGCAGTTTCTAGCCACTGCCTCGGCGTCCTCATCTGTGGGCTCTTTCTTTGCTCTAGCCCATGCTCTGCTGTGTTCTTGGCAGTGCTCCCTGCTGCCTATCCAGTATGCAGTTGCCTGCTCTTGGGCAGTAGCTCATTGCTCTGGCATCCTGATGTGTAAATATTTGTCAAAGAATGGGGGCATTTTCCCATTCCCCAAAAAGCATCCTGAAAAATGTGCCTGTTTTCTTAGTCATATTTCCAAGCTGTGGATCAGTTAGCCCATTCATTCCTTGCAGTTGACAGACACTGGCCTGGCCTCAGCTGGCCACATAAAGTAAGTATGCAGTAACTTCCGGCACAATAACTTTCAAGTTTTAGTACCAGAGAGTCCTGGACCTAATAGAACCGTAGACAATATAGTCACTATTAGAGAAGACGTTTGTTTTATTAACAGAACTCTCCTCCCAGGCATTTTAATTTCTTTCACTCATGCTTGATATTGAAGACTTAGAGGAAATCAACAAAGATGAGAAAGCTAACCATAGAGATTACAAGGGAGAACTTTGCTTTTTGTGTTTGTGACTTTAGTTTTAGGTTTCATATAAGGTAGATGTTTATACATTCATGTCTGCCTCTATAAAGATGACGTTGCTGCTGGACTATTGTCAGTTTTTAGGTATTTTTCCTGTATAATTTGTCCGATCACTTAGTTCTACTTGAGACCAAAAATACTTGGCCTCTGCAAGATGGCTCATTAGGCTGAAAAGTCAGTGTGTAACCATGGAGCAGAGTTTTCTATTCTTGTGCAAAATCAGGTACCCTCATATTGGGTTTGAAGTCTTGTTCTTACCTCAGTTAACAACTAGGTTCTAACAGAGCATAAGGTCTATTTAAATTGCTCACACACCTCCAATAGATTAAAGTAACTAATGTTTTAAACCACTGGCATGCCTTCCTTTCCTTTTCTGTTAGCTTCACCTTCTAACACCCCTTTCCCCCTCATTGTTCAGTCTTTTGATCTAACTGTCAGTCTTCTAGGTCTGGCCAGCATCTGCCCATTTTCATCCCCAACCCCATAATATACATACACCAACTTTTTCTCTTCTCGTTGCTTACAACCACCGCAACCCTCTCCCTTCTAGTCAGAATTTGATACAGGGACATGAAGCTGTTGAGTGTTGAAATCTTAATTCAAATGACTAGGAAACAATGACATAATGCTGTTCATACATTAACTGCTTTTTCCTTATATAACTTTGAAAGGCTTGTGTGCCACTTCTAACGTATATGATTTCTTCCCACAGATCATCAATTTCTACATGAATATGCTGATGGAGCGAAGTAAGGAGAAGGGATTGCCAAGTGTACATGCATTTAATACCTTTTTCTTCACTAAGTTAAAAACGGCTGGTTATCAGGCAGTGAAACGTTGGACAAAGAAAGTGGATGTGTTTTCTGTGGACATTCTTTTGGTGCCCATTCACCTGGGAGTGCACTGGTGTCTAGCTGTGAGTACTACTTTTTTTTTTGGCAAGTTTTAAAAGAAATCAGTGTATTGTATAACCCACAGAAGGGTGGGTAGTGAGTAGTAGTTCTACATCTTCACTTGATTATTGAGAAGAGTAGTGTTTGAGTGAGAGGTTGGCTGAAAGTCACATAGATCAATGAACTTCCTATCCAGGATAGGAGATACTAGATTTTGAAGAACGCAATGGAATTTCCTGTTCTGAAAATATTTAAAAGGGTTATCGGATGTCTAAGTAACCTCAAGGCAAGGAATGGGGAGAAAAAGTAAATGCATAATGATGCTGCCAACTTAGATTCTGTGACTCTTATTTTGTGTAATCACGACCTGCCTTGCATACTTGGTAATTTAATATTTTTTATGGCTGGGCGTGGTGGCTCACGCCTGTTGTCCCAGAGCTGTGGGAGGCTGAGGTGGGTGGATCGCCTGAGCTCAGCTGAGTTTGAGCGGAAGACCAGCATGAGGCAGAGTGAGCCAGAGTGAGACCCTGTCTCTACAACAACAACAACAACAACAAAATAGCCCGACGTTGTGATCCCAGCTACGGGGGTGGGGAGTGGGGTGGTGGTGGCGGCAAGAGAATCACTATAGGAGGAAGAAGTAAAAAAAAGAAAAAAACTTCAAACTAAGATAAAGTGAAAGCCAGCAGAAATTGAAAGCAAAAATTTAAAATATATATATTTTTAAAAAAATACTTTTATGACTGAGGCATGGATGCGTTAGTTTAACGTGTTAATAAAAGTTTAAGCTGAGTGTGCTGGCTCATGCCTATAATCTCAGCACTCTGGAAAGCTGAAGCGAGTGGATTGCCTAAGCTCACAGGTTTGAGACCAGCCTGAGCCAGAGCAAGACTTCATCTCTAAAAACAGCCAGGCATTGTGGTGGGCGCCTATAGTCCCAGCTACTCAAGGAGGCTGAGGCAAGAAAATCTTTTGTTGTTGTTGTTTTGTTTTTCTTAACAGCTAAAGGCGCTGCAAGAGAATCTCTTGAGCCCAAGAGTTTGAGGTTGCTGTGAGCTATGATGCCCAGCATTCTACCAAGCGTGACAAAATGAGACTCTAACTCCAAAAAAATAAATAAATAAGAAGGAAAAAGAAAATGTTTAAAAGTTATTTCATAATCTATTTTGAATTTCATTTGAAAAGCATAAAGCCAAAAGGAAATTCTCAAAGAAACAAAACCCAGAATCTTTTCAACATCTCTCTGAAACTATGTGGAAATAATCTCGAGATACTCAATTTACAAACTATGAAGAGGATGTTGTTTCTTCACTGTTGCTCACCTTGCAGGGAGAGAACCTGAACCCTAGAAAAAGGTTTCAGGGCAACTAATTGATCAGCCCCATTATAGTTTTGTGTAAATAACCCCTCATTCTTCTTTCCTTTACAGATTAAGCATGGTGTAATACAAAGTATCAATCAAACATGACAATTTTGCAGGAAGTCTGGAAAGCTTTCTGGGGCCAGGAGAGGGAAGAGCTGAGAAACCAATTTTCTTCACGTTATAAACACAGATTTTTTTCTTATTCCCAGGTCGTGGACTTCAGAAAGAAGAACATTACCTATTATGATTCTATGGGTGGGATAAACAATGAAGCCTGCAAGATCCTTTTGTAAGTATGGAATTGTATATAACCCAGGCAGGGAATACAGGACTGCTACACTTCCTCCTGGGCTATGCCTGCCTCTCCCAGCTCCAATTAAGGCCTGCTCTGTCAAGCCAAAAAGAACATAACCCCTGTCCCTAATACCCAAGCTCCTTTTACTGACCATTCCTCTTGAGTAACAATAAAAAGTTGGACAGAGAATTTGGTGTCAGGTAAATGCTGGTTTTTCAACAGTTGAAATTACTTGTTTGATACCTTCAATGGGGTGATTAATAACAAAAATCTTCATATTAAGTACGAGTGGATATTTTACATTTGAGTATGAAGAGTTTAAAAATAATACGATATCAAAATATGGCCTAAAAGAGGCATTTATGTCCTAGTTCACTAAAATATAGAGTGGCTATGTAGATAGATATAAGAAGCTACTTAAAAATTGTTTAATCCAACCTTCTGACTTTTCAGGTGAAGAAACCAAGGCCCACAGAGGTGACTTGGATTTGCCCAGGTCCTGCTTTTTATATGTAGCTGGGAATCAAGAGTGCAAATCTCTTTCTATCCTACCTGTTTCTTTTTCCAAAACACCTTTTCCTCACTATACTTCTATTATAGCCAGAGTGAGGTAGCTTTGGAATGGTGAACAGAGTGTGCTCTACAGGAGGTGTGCATTCAGTGAACTGTTGAATTGAATTTTCACACAAGAAAACCAAGCCTAACAATAGTAAATAAATACCCGATGTTGCTAGAGAAACAGTTTTCATTCATTAGATTGAGTTCTAAAGGACCATATAAATCAAGGAAATGAATTAAAAATTGTTACTCAGGAGGAATGGTCGGTAAAAGGAGCTTGGGTATTAGGGACAGGGGTTATGTTCTTTTTGGCTTGACAGAGCAGGCCTTAATTGGAGCTGGGAGAGGCAGGCATGGCCCTGGAGGAAGTGTAGCAGTTCTGGATTCCCTGCCTGGGTTATATACTGTTTTACTCAGAAGAGCAGATGAAACTCTTCCTAAGGATTGTCAGCCCCATTCTGCTGTCCTCTGTTCCCCACCACTCAGCTCATTCTCTCCTAATACCTTTAGGCAATACCTAAAGCAGGAAAGCATTGACAAGAAAAGGAAAGAGTTTGACATCAACGGCTGGCAGCTCTTCAGCAAGAAAAGCCAGGTACATTTCATCTTGATGAGATGGAAATTCCAAGAGTAGGGTGTTTGGGGAGGAAAGGATTTTAGTGCTTGTTTCCTCGGGACCTTACTCTTAGTATTTAGCCTGACTGCAGTTTGGTTGTTCAGTTCCTCGTGGTAGACAGATTAAGCCATTTGTGAGAAAACAGTAATGTGTTTCTTTTGCCAAACTAGGTTTTCTAAATGCCCAGATATTTTGCTAAGCTTTTTACTCCTGTGGGAAACATTCACTGATTATTTGGCCCTTGGGGGAGGGACCACTTTGTACACTCTAAGGGGCCATGGAAGTCTAAGAGATTCTCTTGTAGGATCAGTATGAAGTACACAAACCTGATATTGAAATGCTGGTTTTCTTTGAATCTCTTGTCCTGAAGTAGACCAGGGTCATCTGCAAAATTGATGGAAACCTGTAAAAATTTATATTCTTTGGTTCTTATTTTTAATCTATGAAGGAAAGAAACTTAGAAAGATGTTGCCTTTTTGTTGCTATTGTTGATCTTTCAGGAAATACCACAACAGATGAATGGAAGTGACTGTGGGATGTTTGCCTGTAAATATGCTGACTGTATAACCAAAGACAGACCAATCAACTTCACACAGGTGAGCGGAGCTTACCTTGTTTCCAAGCTGCCCTATAGATGTTTTTCAATCCATTTACTTTTCTTGGGGGCCTCTACCCTGACCTTTAACATTCATTAGCCTGTGACTCATAATACTGGTGGTTGTTGCCTGAGCCACATCAGAAAGGAAAGAAAGACCATGCTAGGCCCTGTCCTAGGTAATAGTACATCACATATTGTAGCAAAGGAATCCTGGTGAAGAGCAGAGGCTTCTCTTCCCATTTCTCTCACCTACTATAGATCCTGAAAGAAAACAGAGAACTGGGATCAGAGCAAATTTTCTTTGGTTTCCTTGCATTTAGTTCCCAGTCAGCTTTTGGAACAGGCCACACCTTGATCTCCTAGTGTAGTTGTTATGCTGCCCTCTCACTTGATGGAGCTGGTCATTCTTCTCTTAGTATATGATTGGATTGTCCATGTAGTCCTTCAGAGACTGAGGTGGATTGAGACTGAGTGGTATCTAGATTATGGCTTATTCTGACAGTGTTTGCCATTTAATTCTATTTGTTTTTCTTTTAAGAGACAGGATCTCACTCTGTTGCTAGTCTAGAGTGCAGTGATTGTATCTCTTGTAACTCCTGAGCTCAAGTGATCTTCCTATCTCAGCCTGTGTGAGTAGGTAGGACTATAGGCACATGCTGTCCTGCCCAGCTAATTTTTAAATATTTTTGCAGAGATGGCATCTTGCTATACTGTCCAGGCTGGTCTTAAACTCCTGGCCTCAGGTGATCCACCCACCTCAGCCTCCCAAAGTGCTGGAATTACAGGCTTCCAGCTGTTGAAAACATGTGCTCCCAGCCCTCTGTTCTTATAAAACCCTTGATCCTTGCCTTGCCTTTCCTTCTGTAAATAAACCTGCCCCTGGCCTCCATTTTACTCTTTACTTCTGTTTGAATCAATGGCTTTACCAGATTTTTCCACCATAGTCTTTTGTCTAGACCAGACTGAGCTGACTCTTGAAGTTCCCTTAACTTTTTACCTGAAAAGTGAGTTTTTAGTTTTAAGCGTTGGTTTCATATCCTCTTAAAAGTTCAACTCAGAGGCTTGGCGCCTGTGGCTCAAGCAGCTAAGGCGCCAGCCACATACATCTAAGGTGGCCAGCTCGAATCCAGCCCGGGCCGGCCAAACAACAATGATGGCTGCAACCCAAAAAAAAAGTAGCCAGGCGTTGTAGCGGGTGCCTGTCCTCCCAGCTACTTGGGAGGTGGAGGCAGGAGACTCCCTTGAGCCCAGGAGTTGGAGGTTGCTGTGAGCTGAGATGCTACGGCACTCTACCCAGGGGGACAGCTTGAGGCCCTGCCTCACAAAAAAAAAAAAAAAAAAATTCAACTCAGAGACACCATTCTCAAAATTCTTGGAGACATTTGGGCATAGCCTGAGGACTCCTGGGTATGTCCAATATGCCTTCTAAGGCTACAGCAATGGAGCAGCAATAGAAATAGCAGTAGAAGAATTAATGGAATGGAAAAAAACCCCATATAATCAAGAATGAACAATTTGAAAAACCAGAAGTATGACTGAGACTATGTTAGTTGAAAACTTTGAGAATTAAAGGAGGATGGGGAAAGAAATATTAGGTCTGCATAAAATAAATGAAAATTAAGGATGTCTCTGTCCCTGCAGCAACACATGCCATACTTCCGGAAGCGGATGGTCTGGGAGATCCTCCACCGAAAACTCTTGTGAAGACTGTCTCAGCAGATACCTTGTGAGGGACCAGCTCTTTGTTGTCTACAGCCAGAGACCTTGGAAACAGCTGCTCCCAACCCTCTGTTCTTGTAAAGCCCTTGATCTTGGCCCAGGCCCTGGCGAGATGCATTCACAAGCACATCTGCCTTTCCTTTTGTATCTCAGATACTATTTTTGCAAAGAAACTTTGGTGCTGTGAAAGGGGTGAGGGACATCCCTAAGCTGAAGAGAGAGACTGCTTTTCATTTCTTCAGTTCTGCCATCTTGTTTTTAAAGGGCTCCAACCTCACTCAGTCCCTAATTAGGGAACTGAGAAGAGCTTGGAAAGAATCTCGGTTTCATATAAACTCTTGTTGTTAGGCCTTACTAGGAAGTAGGACAGGGCATGGGCAAAAGGTAGAGATAAAAACCACCAGCATATACATGCACATATGTGTACACACAATTTTCAGGATGTGTAGTCAGGAATGTGACTGTAATCTGGACTTTGGGGCACATGCATAAGTCCTGCCTCCAGGATTTTTACTTTTCCTGTTTTATGTCCCTATGTGAAATCATCTGCTTCTGTCCAAGGCTGTTTATTATCTGTAGCTTCATCTCATCCTGAGGCACAGCACACAAGTCCTGGATGGACCCCAAAGTCCCAAACAGCCTTTTCCTTAAGAGAAGGGGGTTTGCATGTGCTAACAGCACACGTCATGGGGCAGACCTGCCCCGGGAGCAATCCATTGGAGTGACAGAGCGCTACTTTTGCTGCCGCCTACTTCTGACCAAGAAGAAGGACCTCAGTCTTTAGCATAAGATTCCAGCTTTGGAGGAATGCAGGTCTAGTTTGGTCTGTGGCTAGTTTAAATATGTTTCTAACCACAGATAATTTCATATATATATATATAGATACACACACACACATATATATATATTTCACAGGGATATGCTTTTTTTAAAAAGACTGAATGTGTTCACCATTTAGCCTGTAGATTTATTTCCATTTTCCAGATTCCAGCACACACAGATCCCAGCCCCTATGTAGGGTGTTTGTGGACTTGCTAATGGAATATTTTGAGGCCTGGATGAACTTTGGCTTAGGGATAGAGGTTACAGAGGGAGGTGGGGTTTTCAGCTGAAAAACGGGTGGAGTTTGGACTGATCAACTTGAGATTTAAAAACTGCTATTCCTTTTGTTCTTTCTAGCATCTCCCCCCAACCCTCTGAGAGCTTCTCAGGCTTAGATAGTGAAATGATCCAATGCCAGTGTCATTTTGTACTTAAGTTCCAAAATAGGAACATTTTATACTTTTTTCTGTATTGTTATAGGTAGTTTTGTATGAAATCTTTTCTCCTCTCCCCTTGTACCCCATTCTTTCCAGCATTGTGCTTTCTCCTTGGGCTTATTTGAAAATTTTACTCTGTTTTATACCAAGCTTGTTTAGTACATTTTTCTATGTTTTACCACAAGTTACAATTTGAAAAGAAAACTATTTTTTTTAAATATTCCATTGTTAACTGAATGTTACTGTTTCCACTCCAGCAACTAGATGTCCTACCTTTTTCATAACTGCCTGCCTTTGGGGGGAAGACTATCTTTTGTGTGTTTTTTCTTTTCTTTCTTTCTCTCTTTCTCTTTTTGTTTTACTTTCTTTTTCTCTTTCTTTTTGATAATTTCCATAGGAAATAAATAGCTTTCTATATGAGTTGCTGGGGACTTTCACATTCTCTTTTAGAAAGTTAACAGCATGCAGACCCATTACAGGATTCCTGGAGTATTATTTAATTCTTGGTACTTACTGTATTTAATTGACAACGCAAGAGGTGGCATTATGGTGTATATTTGGACTATAAATCAGAAGACTGAGGTTTTCAAATTCTTTCACCGTTGTTTGGTGGACTCAGAATAAGATACTTCTCTGTATTTATTGTTTTTCCAATTTGATAACACCTGTCTTACTTTCCTCATAGACTTTTTGTACAGACCAAAGCAACAAATATTATATTTATTGCCATGTATAGCAGAAAATGAAACATGCAACAAAAGCACTTTGAAAAATATATAAGGAATCGTTGAGCCTGTCTGAACTGGCCCCCCTTTCTGAATAACAAAGAAGGTTGAAGTTAGTGATCCTGACACCATCCTGCTACACCGATCCTGGTAGGAGTGGGCCAAGCTGAAAGATAGGTTGTGTCCCAGGGTGGCTTGATGGGAACCACATATAGACTTACATAGTGGGCCACTGTTTCCAGCAGGCTAGTCAACAAGAGCAAGACTAGTATCTAGAAACTTTTGTTTTCATTTAGGGGTGGGCTTTGACGACCAGGAAAGAAAATAGATATTTCTATATTTCATGGCCCAAGAGCATGTTGTGAATATGTCATTTAACCTGCTTTAAATAAGACTATTTCTTTTCTCCTATCTTCCCTTTTCCCTGTGCTCAGTGCTCATAATAACCTACCTCCCCTAAAAAAATGCTTAAAGGATCATAAGCATCAGATGCTAGATACAGAGACTAAAACAGAAACCACAGTCCCAGCAATCACTTCTGGACCCTGTACAGAGAATGTCAGACTGTTCTTGCCCATTTGAGAACACGTGGTCTGAGGCTTAGAGGCTAATTACATCTCATTTGTCCCCTGAGACCCACTGGTGCTCCCACAGTGCTGTTCAGAGTTGAATGTAAGAGTACTTTCCCTCATCTAGCCTGGAGACTGTAAATTGACTCCTTTCCATTTGAGGTGTTTCATACTTCTATGTGGTATCAACTTCTCTACTCTTTTTTTCTTTATTAACTTCTATAGTCTTTAGCTACTGTAATCATATGAGCATCTGAATCTACACATTGCCCCCAGCAGTGTTAGCCCCACCTTTTTCTGGTCTTGGGATAGAAACAGAGATGTCTTGGAAAAGCACTTCCACCAATCCCATCCCATGGCCTATCCCTTGTTGCCTGGTTTTACATGGCCCCTAGAAGGCTCCAGTGAGTAGAGAGGGGGGAATGTTCATTTAAAAGTCAACGATTTTAGTGTTTTAGCCTCTGCTTCTGTGCTATCCCTCTAGTTCTTACTATATACGTCTTGCTCCAGAGTAAGAGAGACGGCTGACACCTTTGGTTTGTCTTTTCCTTTTCTTTAGCTGGATGTGTCAACATAAGGTGGAATATGATGCTTTCATCTTAAAAGTTCACATACCCAAGAAAGTCAGAAAAGGAGATGTTAGGCTGTTAGACCCTATTGTTAAATAGGCCACATGCTGAGCCATACTTCCCTACCCAGGAGCCAGTATCCACCACTGCACATTCATCTTAAAATTTGGGAAGGGGCAAGTAAGGCTCAGTTCAGCATCTTTCCTTGTATCTAGGGCCTTGTTTTACCTGTGCTGAATCCTAAAATCTGTTAATAACATATAACTACCAATCTTGGCCTTGGAGGTGGAGAGGGAGATATGGAGTAGAAGGTCATTCTGGCCACTCATTAAAATAATGGGAGAACTTATACATGTATCCCTTATAGGAGAAAAAGGAGAAAATGGGAGACTTTGAACTGGAAGATGAACCTTGAGGAAATGTTAATTCATGCTGTGTCTCTTGTCCTATCAGGGATGTGGTAGTGTGTGAATGATTGGATCAGATGTCAAGGATCTTGTAATCCCAGTACTCTGGGAGGCTGAGGTGCGTGGATCGCCTGAGCTCACAAGTTCAAGACCAGCCTGAACTAGAGCAAGACCCCATCTCTAAAAATAGCTAGGTGTTGTGGTGGGTGCCTGTAGTCCCAGCTATTTAGGAAACTGAGGCAAGAGAATTGCTTGAGCCCAAGAGTTTGAGGTTGCTGTGAGCTTTGATGCCACGGCACTCTACCAGAGGGTGACAAAAGTGATACTCTTGTCTCAAAAAAATAAATTCTGGAATGTTACTAAAGGCTATAATGCTGCTGGGAAGAAGACTCAGTCAAGGCAGATCCAAAGTTAAAAGCCAGTATTAACACTGGCTTGGTTTTAGAATTAAGGCCTATGTCAATCTTGTCCAAATGAGCCAGACCCTAGCTGCAGACTTTGCTCCATTCTAAACTGAGGAGCGCCATCAATTACTTCTGGAGAGTGTCCTACCCTTCACAGAACACAAGTGCTTAGCAAGGAAAGGAAAGAGTGTGAGAGAATGGTTTCCAAGGAGCCCAGAGTCTAGTTTGGGTGTTCTCTCAAATATCTATGGGGCAACCCCCCGCCCCCAAGTCCAATCTCTTTGAAGCCTTCTCTGATCACATTATTTTAAAATCTCTTATCTGGACATCTGTAGCCCTTATAATCAGGAAATAATATAATTCCAGATGGTATTTATATTATAATCCATCTTTTGGCTCAAGATTGAACAAAGATGCTTAGCCTAGCCACTGAGGGCAGGTAAAGGATTTGGTGCTTGTTTTCAAACCAGGAGCACAGTGCTGTTTCTTTCTAGCCTTTGGGATGAGGTGGGGGTAATAAACTTAACATTTATTTAGAAATGGCTCAGCACGTGGAGCTCAGTGAGTAGGGCGTTGGCCACATAGACTGAGGCTGGTGGGTTCAAACCCAGCCCGAGCCTGCTAAACAACAGTGACAACTGCAACCAAAAAAATAGCCGGGTGTTGTGGGTGCCTATAGTTCCAGCTAGTGGGGAGGCTGAGGCAAGGGAATTGCTTAAGCCCAAGAGTTTGAGATTGCTGTGAGCTGTGATGCCACCGCACTGTACCGAGGGTGACATAGTGAGACTGTCTCAAAACACACACACACACACACAAAACATTTAGAAAGACAATGTGTTGGAGGTAGGAGGAGTGAGGACAGCTTACAGCAGCCTGCAGTCTCCTTGGTGGTCCCTAACAGTTCACCTCTGGCCTCAAACTTAATGCCCCACTCTGTTCTTAACAAAAGCCCCTTCCTGGGCAGGTAGGAGTGCCCTTCAGTGCCCTTTAGGAGTGTCTATCTCTATCTCACAGGGCTTATCAAAGTATTGTTTCCAACACACATCTTTGTTAAATACAATCTCCTCCATCTTTTCTCTTTCCAGTGATCCTTTACAGCCCTCATTACTTGAGACTCTGGGTTTCTCACTTCTAGGGTTATGCTAGGTGTTTACTAAATGTGTTTAAACACTGGGCTTGGGGGCCCTGAAGGGTGGAGTGAAAACAGCCACCTTGTCCTCAGGATCTTCCAGTCTGTAGACCTTATAGTTAACTAATTTGAGAAGCTAAGCAGATAGCAACCAATGTATTTTATAAGAAGACAGACTTAGGCACAGGGTTCAGAATGAAGCTAGAAGTGGAGGATGGAGGCGCAGAGAGGGAGATAAGTCAGGGATAATGTTGCCTTTATCTGCCTATCTGAGTGTGACTCCCTAGTTTTTTAAAAAGTTGATTTATTTAGAATAAACTCTGGATTCTGCTTCCTTGCTTTGATTGGAAACTCCCTGGTAGAAAGGACTTGATGGTGTTTGTCTCTCTAAGACGGTCTCCCTGTCTCTGTAACTGTTTGTTCCGTCTCTGTCTGTGTCTGTGTCTCCTGATCCAAGCCGGACCAGTGATTGGATCCTCAGTGTGGTCTGGATTTCTGAGCCCACCCCTTACTCAGGAGTCTGAATACTGTTCATTCATTTATTTCATTCCACATACCTGGAAGTGAAGCCTGAAACGCAAATAACATGCAAATCTGTGGTTCTCTGGCACTTTTGAAAAACCAAACCTGTTTGTGGAGCCTGCCAGAGGACCCTCCTGAGGCCAAACATGCCAGTCAGGACTCCAGCCCATCCTGCTAACTGCAGCCCTTGTCTCCTTGCCGGTCTCCTTGCCCCTCTCCGGCAGCCCTCTCTCCTCACAATAGAACCTTCCCATGGCTTTGCCTGTAAAACTCAAAGAGCAAAAGATGAAAAAGCACCAACTTCCCAAACCTCTGCTATGTTAGAGAAACGGTTTTATCTATGTTGGGTAAGGAGACTCCCTGTAGTCCCCAGGATGTTCTCAAGGTTTAAGGGTTTGGAGAGGCGTGGTTAAGATTTTTCAGCCATTTGAAAATGGTTGGAATGAGGAGGGAAACCTTCAAGCCACCTTCTTTTTTCTGGTTCCTGAATGTGGTTATGGATAGCTGATGATTGCCTGGATTTTGTCTATCACCAAATGGAAAAGATTGTCCTTCAAAGTGGGTACCTGAGCATGAGTCATAGTCCAGTGGTCTCTCCAGCCACTCCCTGGTCTTGGACTCTTCAGAAAGTTACAAAGGGAAAGGAGTGGGGTGCCTGTTCTTTTCCCCCTCAATAAATCCTTCATTGAACAGACACTTCCTGAACCTGCCAATGCCCCATTTCCAGCAGCCCTTCATCTCTGCCTACCATGGCCTACAAGGCCTTGTGCAGCTAACCCACCATTCTCTCAGCATCCTCATCACTCTTCCGGCTCCCTCTGCTTTGGCCACACTGGCCTCCGCTTTGTCAAGAAGCCAAGCTTGCTTTCACCTTGGGGCCATTCTGCTCACTGCTTTCCCTGGGCTCTGATGGAATCGTTCCTCATCCCAATTCGTACAGTCTGTAGCTTCCTTACCCTCATTATTTC